AGGGCGGCCATGCCCCCACGGCTGCTGCGTCCTCGCCGCACTATTTCTGTCGGGCACGGGGCCCTGCCGGCTCCCTGCCCGGTCGGGTTACGCCGGCTTTGAGAGTCTATATTTAGGGATGATGTCCCCCCCGTGGCGGCTGCGTCATGCTGGCTTTCCCAGGAGGGGTGGGACACGTTCCGGGAACGTGGCGGGGGGGCACGGCCGTGGCCAGTCCATCCCCCCCAGCCTGCCCAGGGACCCTCGGCCACCAAGATGCCTCTTGGAGTCCAGGCCCCAGCCGCGTGCCAGCATCGCACCTCTCTGCTGTCCCGTGCCATGCCCACATGCGGGGCACAACATGCACACGCATGGCAGCGTGTGTGCATGGGGGGGCATGTGCCTGGTGGCCATGTTAGGGGGCTGCAGGCGTGTGTTGTTCTTCTGTGCGAGGGATCTTGTGTGCACATGCAGACATGCCCAGGCTTATTGCACACGCGTGTGCACCAGCATTGGAACATGCCTGTGCACACAGCTGTGGGCGGCAGAGACTGGAGCAGAGGTTGTTTCCAGCCTGGTTTGCATCGGGAGCAGCGAGTCCCAGCGGTGCGTGGGCAGGGCAGGGGCAGGGGCAGGGGCAGGACCCGGGCAGAGGGCAGAGGAGGAGCCTTGCAAATCCCCGTGGTGAAAGCCTGGACCGGTCACTCGGCGCCCTCTTCTCCAGGGGTCGCAGCTGCCCGGGTCGGGTTACAGATGCGGAGCAGATGGCAGCGGGGGATGGAGGGGCCTGTCCGGGCCGGTGGGGGGGAGCTGCAGGGGCCTGGGGGGGTTGTCGCAGGTGTTGGGGGGTCAGGGTCAGCAGGAGCCAGAGAGCTGGGCGCATCCTGGCTCCGTCTGCCTGGTCCGGGGTTGGGTTGGGTTGGGGGGCAACGCTGACCTTGTTGCATGCATGCAGCCAGTGCTAGAGGTCTGGGGGGCTCGGGGTGGCATGGGGGGGGCAGGGGCAGCCCCCTCCGTGCCCCCGCGTTGTGCCCCCGGCGGGTGCTGGCCGCGGCCCTGTGCGGGTGTAAGGGCGCCGGCCCTCTCCTTTGTTCCTGCTCCCTGGAGCCTGCTGCTGCGTCAGCTCCAGCAGCCTCCTGCCCTGCCCCCCACCTGCCCCGGGCTGCCAGGCGGGGGCAGCTGCCCTGTGGGACGGGGGAAGCCCCTGGTTTGATGGAGACACTTGCATGGATCCTGGCTGCTTGGGAGGGGGACGGCTCCCTGGACCCCACCATGGGGGCCGTTTGGAGTTAGGCTGGGCTGCCTCGTGGGGCCTGACACGCGCCCCCCATGCACCCGGGGCGCAGGCATCCCTAGGGTCGCCCCCACCCTGGCACTGCCCAGCTGCCACGAGGCGATGGGCTTTGGCGGGTCTGGC